TTTCTCACCACTATTTATATTTTGCTACTAACTCTCACTTCCTAATTTGGATAGGTATTTTTTTTTTTTTTTTTTTGGTTCTTGGTAAAAATGGAGAGAACCACTCCAGTGAGGAAGCCACACACATCCACTGCAGATCTGCTCGTTTGGTCCGAAACTCCTCCTGCTGATTCACCTGCTAACGCCTCCGCCACGCGCCTATCCACTCGCGCCCAGGTGCGTGCAATTCTGTTTGTTTTGTCGTGATTTAGGCGTTTGTATGATTACTTGTTTGTTCTGATTGGTTCACGTGCAATGGTAGCCATCGGATGGGATTAGCAAGGTGGTTTTTGGGGGTCAAGTGACGGACGAGGAATCTGAGAGCTTAAACAAAAGGTGAGATCTGCTTCTCCTTAAAATACAAGGTTCTTTTTTTTTAAGATAAAATAATTTTATTTGGTGGCATTAAATGTGTTTAGATAGTCCTGAAATTTGTTGGTTTCGGTTTGGTTTATACAATAATAACTTCTTCTTTTTTTTTTTTTTGGTCTGTCTTTTTGTCTTTACTCTTCACGGATTTCATTAATGTTTCGTGTGTTGTGTCTGCAACGGTCAAGAGATTTTTACTTCGATTTGACTTATTAATGTTTTCTGTGAAATACTTTGTATGTACAATTCTGTTAATCTATGTTTCATCCTCTCTTCAGGTTGATCTGTCCTGATATATTCGATTACTCTCCTTATTTTGGCTATCAATAGTAATTGAAAAGCCTTACTAAATTTATTTAGCTGTCTTCCTTGCTAGTGAAAAGCCTTACTAAATTTATTTAGCTGTCTTCCTTGCTAGTAGAAAATTAAATTGGTTGTTTTGGATCTTTTATAGCCCAGTAAACCCCGTTGGTTTAATCCATTGTATTTAGATCTACCACAGACGATCCTGTGTTTAGCTTCCACGGCTATATCTATAGAGCCTATATAAATTTTAGAAATTATGTCAATTAATATGTGTGTTTTAGAAACTGAGTAAATGAATGCAAGGAATTTCGATAGCTGTTTTCAAATTCCAAATGATGTTGCTTGGCCTCCTACCGGACCAAGTTCAATGCTGGCTACCATTTTACGATCGTTCCACATGATCTTTTATGTGGCCATGACCTACATGGCATAGTAAAACATCAAATAAATATCAGATAAATCTATAGTGTTTAGTTCTAAAATAAAACAACTCAAATTTTCAGCATCTACCCTTATTATTTAAAAACACTGTTAGTTGTTTTCCAAGCAATTATGCTTGTTATCGTGTGTGGGTCTGCTAATGTGTGGCTATTTAATAGCAGAAAACATATAAAACAGGGGAGATGCAGTAATCTATTTTGCCAATGGAATAGAATGTTCAAAAACTGATGTAATTGTGCTCTTTTTATGTTAGACTTCTAAAACCATTGACTTTGTACTACTTTGCAGGAAACCTTGTTCAGGGTACAAAATGAAGGAGATGACTGGCAGTGGCATTTTCGCGGCCGGTGGAGAAAATGATACATTAGAATCTGATAGTGCCAATCCAACTCCAAATAACAGAACAGGAATACGCATGTATCAGGTATCTAGGGTTTCTTGCAGATTTGAAAGTCACATGCCTCTGTTGTCCAAATAAATGGAAATTTGGAACAACATGATACACTATCTAGTAACTGACAATTTTGATATACTGATGTTTGGAATTGCCAGCAAGCGATTGCTGGAATCAGTCATATCTCATTTGGTGAGGAAGATAATGTTTCTCCCAAGAAGCCTACTACTATACCTGAGGTGGCTAAGCAGCGTGAGCTAAGTGGGACACTGGAAAGCGAGGCAGAGGCAAAGTTGCAAAAGCAGATTTCTGAATATAAGAGCAAGGAGCTTAGTGGACATGATATCTTTGCACCCCCTCCAGAAATTTTACCACGGCCAGCTGTGCGCTCCTTGGCGTTGAAGGAAAATTTTAACTTGGGAGAAACTGCTGCACAAAATGTACCGTCATCTGTCAATACCTCTGACGTGAGTGAGTTGTTTTTAATTTGTATGCATGAAAAAAATTGCTTTATTCCTTCCCTCCTCCCTCTTTTCTCTCTCTCAATGGATTTTTAAGCTTTAATTGGGAGATAGGTTCAATATGCAATCATGCCCGCTACAAGATTATAATTAATCGAACGAATGCTTTACTTTTTTATATTTAATATAAAAAAGGTTTCATAAAGTTATGCCTTATGTTAGATTCCAACAACTTTTCTATATATTGGTTGTCTTTTAAGATGGTTAGGATGCATGTATTGAGTGCCTAAGAACAAGTGTATGAGCATAGTTATCATACTAATTGCACAATGCTGGGACCAGGAAGTACAGTTTTGTTGATTTTGGATTCAATATTACGTGTCTGCACATGGCTTTTTCTAGTTCCTTGATTCTCATCTTAGTTTATAAATATGTACTTATATTGTGCAATTCTCATCTTTCTCTTCAGCATGTGTCTGCTACTTGTTTTGTGCTTCATGTTTACTGAATTTAAATATCTGACTTTGTCTGAATCTGGATTTAATTTTGTGTCGGATGTCAGAGCAATATAATGTCTAGTGAGGAATCTGGGATGAAGACAGCAAAGAAGATATATGACAAGAAATTTGCTGAGCTTTCTGGAAACAACATATTCAAGGGTGATGTTCCTCCAACATCTGCTGAGAAGTCACTGAGTGTGGCAAAACTGCGGGAGATGAGTGGCAGTGACATCTTTGCCGATGGGAAGGCGGAGTCGCGAGACTATCTGGGTGGAGTACGCAAGCCTCCAGGCGGCGAGAGCAGCATTGCCTTGGTTTAACTTGTTAGGTCTAACTTGGTTATTTTTTACACTTTGTGCCTGGTTTTGTGTTATTCCCAGTGGTGGTGGTGTGATTATATTATTCGACCTTGCATTGCGGGTTTTGGGAATCTTGTTCTAGGTTTTAACATGTTGCCAGAGCTATGGACTGTCTGCTAATTGGGTTTGTATGTCCATAATCTTGTGCTTTTCAGTGCTTGTTTTAGTGAAATTTATGGTCGTTTCTCCAGGTTTAATTTTATTTCTTAGTACTACATTGATTATCATTAAACTGTTTTAATTTATTGAGTAATTGTTTTTGTGCCCATCTTTATCCAACACCCATTCCCATTCAAATCAAGGACTGGCTCTTTATATTCAAACGGTGTTCATATTAAATTTTCTGAAACGGTTGTCATTATATTGAAACGTTACTTCCAGCTTAAGCATACCATAGTTACGCCACACTTGCAGAGCCTAAAAGAATGATGTAAATGTCTTACTCTGAGTCATAGTGGATCAGTTGTTGATTCGTGATTTGGGTAGGCAACGAGGAGTGCAGTGTGCATCAGTCATCTTTTTCAAAGTGTTATAAGTGGAAGACTATAGTGTCAAGAAAATTAATTAAAACACTATTTCAAATTTGTAATTAATTAAATAATTATGACGTTTGAAAATTTTTATTAAATAATTATTCACTTAAAGAGATATATTTTAAAAGATGAAGTTTATAACTATTTAATTTATTTTAAATTTGAGATGATATTTTAATAGTGAACCATATATATTTATTTTTAAAACCTAAAATTTTTATATTACTGCAATAACAGTAAGTTAAGATTACTAAAACGTATGCTATACCATTTTATTTTCACTTTAAGATTCATGTTATTTCATTTGATTTTCACTTTAAGATTTTTCCACCAAGAAGGGATATCATCTCGAAAGTCGAAACAATTGAAATTACTTGGTTGCTTCAAATCAGTTGCCGTGAAGAACTGGTGAAATTCAGGCGGTTGAGTGGGAATTGTGCGGAAGTTTCATATAACGTTCTTGTGTTCTTAAGTTTGTTGTAGTAGTTGAATATTAAGTCTCAATCGTATAAAAGGATTATGGTCTCATGAAATCCTAGTTGTAAAGAAGGGGAATCGTCTCAACTTTTTGACCATGGAATTCCAACACTTAAATCAGAAATTCGTAAGGCTAATGCACTAAATGTCGACAACTTCAATCAATGGGTCGCTTGTGGACAAAAATAAACCATTTTTTTATGTGTTAAGAATGATAAATCATAAAAAGTTGAACTTTATAACATAAGATAATGCAGGCAAAAGTGACGATTTTGGGTTGACGACGAAGTCTTCATGGTTTACTTGAGTGACAAGAAACCATTTTTGCCCTTTCATATTCATAGATGTATACATAAACGCGTAAGTGAGGAAACAAAAAGGGAAAGAAAATAGTTTTAAGATTTATCAATAATTAACAATACATGTTTAGATGATTTCATCTCTACCGTTGATTCATGATCTTGATTGGCCAAGAATATAACAGAATCCCAATCGAAGGTCAAAAGAGATCAATCTCAAGTTGAGAAAATCAAGCAGTATTTGGCGTGGAAGAGGTTAGTAATTGGAATTCTGTTTTAGCATAAGAGATTTTGATAACTAACAAATCAAAAATAAATAAACAAATAATAATAAAATATATATATATAAAAACAAATTTCTCCTACTCAGATTCTCTGTGTCTTGCTCATTCTCTCTCTTCCCTTCTGTGCTTTTTCTCTGCGGAAAGTAGCGCGGGCACCTCGACTTCATTTTCATGGTGCAACTGTGAGCAGCGACAGACCGTACACACTCACTTTCATATAACCGTCAATATCGAATTTCAAACAAAATCCCAATCTCTCTCTTCCTTCTTTCTTTCACGCTCTTCGACTCTTCTTTAAAGTTTAAACCAAAAAAAGAAAAAAAAACCCACAAACCAAATCAAATGACACTCAAATACATAGCATAAGAGTCTCTTCATTTCTCTGCAACAAATGTCTTTCACTTTTTATACCCTTTAAATCGATAATATTTGATGTGGGTTTTGGGTTTTTGATACTGGTTTGGATTTGTTTTTCTTCAATATTAAGTCTTTTGAATCTTTATATTTTATGTATTTATTAAAAAAGTAATTTCATTTTTTTAGGATGTATAAAGTAGGTGATCAGATAGAGAAAAAGAGAGTTTTAGAGAAAATGAAGAGAGATGAAGAGCTTGAAAAGATGTTGAATGAGATTCATCACCATCAAGTTCCATATGTCAATATTGGCCACCAACACACGCCTCTTGTGAGTGGTTCTGGTTCACCTTTTAGTAGAGTGACTCAGCTATCAACAGAACACTCTTCTGCTCTTTCAAATTCTTGTTTTTCTTCCAATGGGTTTTGTTTAGCTCAGGATAATTCTTCGCCATTTTCAACAATGAGTTTTCCCTTTGATATTGAGGATGTTAACAAGTTTAAAGCACCAACTGTCACAGATAATCATGTTAGTGGACTGTGGTTGGATTCTCAATCAAACGAGTCTTCTCGTTATAGGAAGAATGTTGTACGTGATAGGTTGGATTTTGATGAACTGGGTTTGTGTGAAAGTTTCTATAGAATGAGCGTTGGAAAGGAACAAAACGATCATAGTATTATAATGAACAGATATGAGATGAACCCAGAGGAGGTTAGCTTTGGTTTTGGTCATGGTTATTGGGGTGGTACTGTACCTTATAATGTTGAAAAATATGGCATATCTGATGGTCTCAACAATGGTGATTATCAAGGGTTCGGTACCTGTCCTGGTGTAGTATCTAGGAGTTTTGATGATGAAATGAAGTCTGTGTCGATTGGTTTGGGTGGTAGATATGGTGAGTGTGAGTTAAAGGATGGTAATTTTTTTCACAGTCAAGCTACTGATATGCGTTCGGATCCATGTTATGGTAGCAATAGCATAAGGAATTGTGTATTTGAGCAGAGAAAGGAACAGGGAAGGAGCTGGACTAATGGGGGTTTACAATCACGGAGTATTATCGGGACTAGGCCTTACCTTAATGATGCATTGGTTGGTTCGCAACGACTTCGATTGGATACTATTGGAGAGATTGGTGCCATGAATCAATTGATTTCCACTCCCTTGATGTATCACGAGTTGGGTTTAGATTTGGAAACTCAGTTGTATAATCGTTCATTGTTGAAAGAAAGGACTAGTGTGATGCCAAACGACAGGGTTTCTGTCTCTCACGTGCCTTTGAATGAAGCAGGGATGGTGGATGGTTTTGGTGTCGAAGATAGTTTCATCATACAAGGAAAAAGTCTTAATCATGTTGTCAACGGACGTGGTTCTTTGAGTGGTCACAAGAAGAACAACCTCAATGAGGTTGCAACCAGAAACCCTCCAGAGAAAATCTCTAAACTTGAAAGTTGTGCTCATAATGGAGGACTTTCAGAAAATGATCAGAATATAAGTTATTTCCCATTGCATTTGTTACCAAGTTCTAGTTCCTTGGCTGAGTTTCGCGGTTATATACACTTAATGGCGAAGGATCAAAATGGTTGTCGGTTCTTACAAAGGGTGTTCGATGAGGGAACTTACAAAGATGTGCAAATTATATTTAATGAGATTATTGATCATGTTGTTGAACTTATGATGGAGCAGTTTGGCAATTACCTTGTGCAGAAGTTGTTAAATGTGTGTAGTGAAGAACAAAGGACACAGATTGTGCTCATGGTCACCGAAGAACCAGGACAGCTTGTCAGAATTTGCTTAAACACATATGGGTAACTCCTCCATAAAGGACTTAGTAACTGTCTTGTTCATTTAGTCGTTTATTGTTTGAGTTATTTGTTCTTGAAAATTTTTCTTGTCAATGAATGACATTTTTGTTATGATTCCAGCACACGAGTGGTACAGAAGTTGATAGAAACGCTCAAAACCAGGAAGCAGATTTCAGCAGTCAAAGCAGCACTGAGACCTGGTTTTCTTGATCTCATAAAGGATCTGAATGGAAATCATGTGTTACAACGCTGGTTGCACTGTCTTAAAAATGAAGATAATGAGGTATAGTTTTTTTCCTTCCATATCTTTCCATTGCGAAGTTTCAGTTTGGTTCTAAGGATCTAATGTACTCATGCTTTATTTTCTCATTCTTGAATACCAATATGATCTTATTATTATTTTTTTGTTTTTGAAATGAAGCTTTTCTCATCCAGTAGTTTTTCATTCTTGTTAACAAATGAGTTGCAAATGTAAATTATTAGCTAATTTATAGTGTTTCATAGCTTGGTAAGTCACATCTTCACAGTACATTAAGCATTTTGGTGTCATATTTTCATGGAAGGTGGACATGTTCCTAAATCAATTTGTGGTGGTTTGAATCTTATGCATTGCCTTGGTTCATGCATGCATAACAGCGTTAGACAGGAAACAGAGCATTAGTTGGGTAAACTTCTTTTTCCTTGTTACACTATCTATGATAGTTTAACTAACAGGCAAACTGGTTAGCAGTGATTAGTCCCAGGTATGTAAGGGGCCAGCAAAAAATCTGGCTTCATGTTGACCAGGAACAAGCAACTTCTTTACCTAGAAATTAACAATTCTCCTAGTTTGGTAGATTTATCCTGCCAATTCATAATCCTCTTTCAGTGTGCACGTTGGTGCTTTTATGGAGAATTGTATCAATTCTAATCATTGATTTGGCTCATGTACCTGCATGCATATTTTATAAATTTTGTTTTGCTTGGTACATACATACACGTGGATTCAGGGCCAACCATGCCTTCACAGCCTCTACTGTTCTTGGAGCTAGCCATGTTGGGTGTTATGTAGCCAGTGGGGATGCAGGGAGATATAGAATGAAAGTCCATACAACTGTTAACAATAGAAGCACCAAGAGGATTGATATAGATCTAATTCCTATTGCTGGATTAGCTCATCTGTACAAATACAATCTGAACCTTGTCATATTTGTCACAACTCCGACTCAGTGATGGCAAGATGAACTTAAAATCAATTTAAGAAGTTATATTTTATCTTTGCTTTATGTATTTTGACTTAAGTATTGATTACTAGAATGTTCTCTTTTCAAATGTCTGATTGTTTTTTATTAATGACTTCTAAGCTTCTCATTGAATCAGTGAAGATTTTAACTAGATGTATGTTTTTCATTGAAAGAATAGTTAGTTTGCTGGACCTGCCATACTACTGTCAACAGGTATTCTAAATTTTTATCTTTTTTCTTATTGTTTTTCCTGTCAACTTCTTCCTGCAGTTTATTTTTGATTCTGCTGCAAAGTTTTGTGTTGAAATTGCTACTCATCAGCATGGTTGCTGTGTGTTGCAACGATGCATTGCTCATTCAATCGGTGAACTTCGTGATAAGTTAATCACTGAAATTTCCAATCACGGGCTTCTTCTTGCTCAAGATCCCTTCGGGTATGACCTAAAATGTGTGAATTCTTTTTATTATTTTCTGACGGTCAAACTCGTAATAGGACATGATAAACCAAGTTTATATACATATATTTTCAGATATTACTGGTTCTTTGATGAATAAATTTATTTTGGCCTTCTTAGTTTTGTTTGATCCACCTCAATGTTTAATTAAAGCCTAGCTTAATTGGACAAGCTGTTCTTTATAAAATATAAATTAAGCTACCATATTGATGTCGTTATACAGGTAATTTTTATAAACTAATGGAGAACTCGTGCTAACAAATTCATCAATATTTTTAAGATATAGATCCATCTATTTCAACGAGAAAGCCGTTGAAAAAAATTCTCTCTTTTCATATATTTAAGGATGCATTGTGCTGGCTGGGTATCAAGTAAATATATGGTCATTTGTCATTGTAGCAATTATAAAGTTTGTTTCGTTTTACTTAAATTTTGAGCCATTACATATTTATTTCCATGAAATATCTCATTATTAATGTCTTTTTATCTGGCATGTTGCTTTGGTTATAAAAGAAAGCTACTCGATCTGCATTTTTATAATGATATGCTACCTGAATATCCATAAATTTGTTGAAAAGAAACTGAGTTGCTCACTTTCTTTTTATATATATATACATTGTGAGTCTCTTCCAAGAGTAGCTTTCAGTTTCTCTCTCTCTCTTTATTTTTTATTTTTTTTAAAGAAAGGAAGAAGAACTTGCATCGCAGCTAAGTATTACATAGGCAATGGTGTTCTATATATTTTATTGTTCATGCTTATAGTGTCCTGTTTGCCTCTTATCTCCCAATATCAAGGGTTTTTAACAACCGCTCTCGTAAGCATGTTCATGAGCTATGCAATGTAGATACCACATGATCATAGAATTCTGAAGGTATGTGTGTGTATCATATTTGAAAATCCTGAAGTGGATACTAAGTTCAACACAACTTCACGAACCTTGATCAAAAGGAACCCAAGTTTTAGAACATTGGCCATTCTTTCCTTGTTCATTTTCCCTACTCATAGCTGGCCCTCTCATTGACATTGGTCATTGCTTATAAGTTTGTTATACACCCTAAATTATTCTTGTCTGCCAACTCAAAACTCACATTTGTCAACCTTAAATCGCTGGGTTTCTCCATCCATCAATCTAAAATTTACACAAAGTCTTGCAATGATATATGCTTAACTCCTTGGTTGCTTAGAATTTGGGTACACGAGGAGTGGTCATTTAATGCCTTTCTATAAAGCATTTATTGTGTTTTACAGTGTTCATACACTAAGACATCAGTTTAAATACATAATCCCGAAATAAATGTTTACCCATATATATCATAGGCTAATTTTCTTGTTTCGTTGTATTTTTTTGTTTACCACTCTTAACCTTGGACAGTATTTTAGTCCAGGAAGTGGTTGCTTTTAAAGTTATTTTGGTTCTGCACCATGGTTTTATCTGATTCTCTGACTCAGAAGATTTCTATTCATTCTGCGACAGAAATTATGTTGTTCAATATATTATAGAGTTGAGGATCCCTTCTGTCACTGCCAACTTAATTGCTCAGTTCAAAGGCCATTATGTTTACCTATCAAAGCAGAAATTTAGCAGCCATGTCGTGGAAAAATGCCTCAAGCATTTTGGAGAGAGTCGATCACAAATTGTCCATGAATTGCTGTCTGTGCCTCATTTTGAACAGTTGCTGCAAGATCCATATGCCAATTATGTCATTCAGTCTGCATTGACAGTTACCAAGGTTTGGAGAAGTACATCCTTTAGCAACTTCTCTGATGTGTTTCAAACTTTTGATAGAACCTTACTCCTTTATTTCTATCTTCAGGGCCTTCTTCATGCTGCACTGCTTGAAGCTGCTCGGCCGCACTCTTTCTTACGAACCAGCCCATATTGTAAGCGGATTTTCTCGCGGAATCTGTCAAAGAAGTGATGTAAATTCGTGCGTGGTAACAAGTGTTGTTGTTCTCCCAAAGTTACTAACCTGTTCCCTATTCAGAAGAAGTCTTAATCTGTGTTGAGGCACTAGATGTAGAATAGCCTTCAAAATTTGAAGCGGACGCCCTCATGAGAACCTTGGAAACTTAATCTCTACGGATGATCTCTATGATTTTGAAGAATGTAAACTGGAGGTTTTTACTCCTGGTTGTTTGTTTTGCTTAAACAACTTGTATGTACTGTTCTGTTGTCTTCTTCTTGTTGTTGTTGTCTTGTTGATCTGAACTTTTAATGTATGATGTTTCACATGGTCGGCACCGCAGTTTTTACTTTTAATCTTGGTAAATGCCATGCGGCACTATATTTCCTCTTCAATTCTGAAGTTGATTTTCATGAACTATGATCTGGGTTGTGAGAATTATATAATCTCTTTCTAAGAACATAAAAAATGATATGGTGTCAAGCCTGTTGGATCGATCATTCAATTTTCGTAGTAAGATTAATATGAATCCAAGTTAAAGTAAGAAATATTTTTTGCTCTTTTCTCGTCTTTGACATGTGGGTAATGGAAATTTTTGCTAACCCTTTTGATCGCCAATCATATACCTCATGTTTCATAGCTCATGTTAAAGTAACAGATCACTATGTCGACTCAAATACTTCCAACATCGTGAAGTAATTTACGTGGAATTGGTGGAGCAAAGTAATTAATTAAAGATGTATTAATAATATGGAATATGATAGCAGAAAGATGCCAACTTAGCTGAACTCCCATTTCTTCCACCTGCCATGCCTACGCCGAAGGTTTTGGGACTTTATGTTGGAGGTAGGGCTATAAACGAGCCGAGCTTTTGGCTTATCGAGCTCGAGCTTGGCAAGCCTCAGAATTGAGACTCGAGCTCGAGCTCAGTCGAGTTCGAGTCGGCTCGCGAGCCTGATCCCTAAATTTTAAAAAATGATAAAACACCCCTTGAATTTTTTAATCCCTAAAACCAGTAAACCACACCTCCCAGTCACTGTAATCCCCAAAATTTTATCGATCTCCACCACGGTTTGTCGGCAGCACCAACACACCTCCCAGTCGCCGTCAACTCTTCGCTGTGAACCACGTCTTCTTCTTCAGATTTGCGTCGCAGAGCTGTCGCCAAACTCGCCATCAACTCTTCGCCGTGAACCACGTCTTCTTCATCGGATTTGCATCGCAGGTCTGTCGCCGTCAGTGGGATTTGGGATTGCTTTGTTTACTTGGTTGCTTTGTTTGCGATTTGGGATTTAGGACAAGTGGGATTGGGATGAAATTGATTTGGGATTTTGGTGTATCGTGTTTAAGAATTCGCACTTGGGGGGGGGAATTGTCATTTTTTTTAACTTTTTTTTACTGGAAAATATCAGTTTAATACCTAATCATTTAAAAAATCACCAAAGCATCCTGTGTAAGTGTACAGTGCTTACTCGAGCCGGACCAGGCTTGCAAGCCCACGAGCTGAGCTTTACGACTCGGTTAACGAACCGAGTTTGAGTCGAGCCTTATCGAGCCAAGTCGACTCGGCTCGTTTACAGCCCTAATTGGAAGATTCCAAAATTATTTAGATAAATAAAAATAAATAAGATTACAAAAATATTTAGTTAAATAAAAAATTAAGAGTTTTAATTTTGATAATGATTCGTGATTTTTAATTTTCGCTCTTTTCTTGTCTTTAAGGTTTGAAGTAAATTACAAAACTTATATCTATTAATTAAAATATCATTTCAAGTTTAAAATAAATTAAATAGTTATGAAGACTATTCGCTTAAGTGAAATAATATAAGCTTATCGTTTAAGCGATATAAATTTATCTATAAACTTATCTTTTAAACGATATGTGTTAAATCGTTTAAACGATGAAGTTTATGACTATTTAATTTATTTCAAACTTAAAATGGTATTTTAATTAATAGATATAAGTGTGAGACTAACTATTGAAACACCATTTCAAATTTAGAATAAATTAAATAATCATTAATTTCATTGCTTAAGACACATGAGAGATAAATTTATAGATAAACCTAATATTAAGGATACAAACAATTTAATCCATTAAAACAATTTATATCCAGGATCCCCAGTGATAATTGTCTCATAATACTGAATGTAAGTGAAAAATTTACTTAAAACCGTAAGAATGAAAGTATAAATAACCCGCTGACGAAACTACTTCCAATTTTCGACAAAATAAACTTATTCATAAATATGGTAGTTTAATAGCATAGCGAACTCCATATTATTCAGGTAAGCATAAAAGGTTCTTTAAAACTCACAAAACCATAAGATGACAATGAAACAAAACATGTAGCAAACCGCTAACACCAACAAGCAAACATGCTTAATAGATAGATAGCCTCTTTTATCTCTCGCAGTTGACAGCTACTCAGGCATCACCGTGTCCTATCAATGCCAGAAGTATTTTTTCATAGTCCCCAGTGGTGTCCTTGACAATGGCACGATCGAGAGGAACACTGTTCCTTTTCTGGTATTCTTCTTTAATGACCTTCATGTCAATCTCTGCCCTTGTGGTGACAACTCTGGTCAGAGCTCCTTCATCTGTTCCTTGTCTATTAATTGCCAAACGAAGAACCTTTTCGAAGTACCTCTCAGGGCGGATCAAACATTTAACTGTGGCCCTCAGTAGTGCAAGGTACTCGTCCTTAGGATCAGTCTTCAAGTCCTGCAAATAGTGCCAAGAACAGTAAAATTCTATTACGGGGGTGATTAAGAAATAGAAATTGACTTCTCAGGAAGTTGAAATTCCTGGCCGATAATGGGCTAGGAAACAAGTAATTTAGTTAGAAAAGAATAATCTTGGAAAACATCTTGCTAAATACTGCCTTTGAAGCTCACAATACCTTGTTGATATCATTGCCAAATTCATTTTTGTAGTGATTCAAAGTTGCATTAATCTGTGCTTTGCTTCTTGTAGCCAAGATCCTGATGAGATCCTCATCAGTGTATGCCTTCTTAGAGATCTTCTCATGGAGTATCTTAGCTTCTGATTTTGCTAGTGTCATGTTCACCTCATCTCCCTCATACCGGTATGAGGTCACAAGAGGTAGCAAAAGCTGGTATATATGAATGTATTGCAGCACCAAGCCATCCACAATGTCAATGCATACAAGCAATTCCATTAACCATAAAGCACAGGAAGACCAACAAGAATTAGAAAAGGTAAAATTCAGAACACAATAAGAATCTCAAATAAACAGAAAAGACGGGCAAACTTAGAATTCCAGATGAAATGTTTCAAAGCTCAGAAACATAATCATTTTCATTTTCTAAAGTATTACAAGAATAGCTACAGAAGATTGATTCGACTGCCTTTCTTCACCCAAGTAAGTTTAGTAACTTCGGACTGGCCTTTAGAAATTAGAAGTACTAGCATATTCTATCCACTAAAATCATTATCCTTTTAATTTTATAAATCACTAGTACTGGAAACTCAATTCCACCAAAGTAAGAGTTCAGGAAATCGTTCTCATTTTCCTTTCAATCAAAAGTATATAACAATATAGTTTGTGATCTTGCAGTCCATCTGACCCAAATTCATCAGGTCATCACAACCAAACATACAGTTACTAATTCCACAGAACACACAGTATAAATGTGGTCAGAAACCAATTTCATGTACTTATATATCAGCTCACCTCAAAATTGTCACTGCATTCTGAGAGTGAAAAAAGTTACGAAAAATCAAGTATATTATTCTATGAACAACTGAAAATAAAAATTAGATTCCATGCAATATATAAGGAACTTGAGGAATAATTTTTTTTTAAATCATAATCATAAATGTTGATATTTGCTTGAAAGGGTAAATGCTGATATTCTTGAAACCTACCTTGCGGAAGTCCCCAGTAGTATGATGTGCAACATCCTCTTCAAGAGATTTCTTGTAACGAGCATGATAAGCTTGCCTTGCCTGAAGCAACTGATTTGAAGACCTTGTGCAGGCAATTTCCATAAGAACTTGATTGCTTGAAGTCCACCTCTTGGTGGCTTCATTAGCCAAAAATGCATCACGTTCAGCAGGATCTAGAGTCCAAAGCAGCACCACTCTCTGATGATGAAAAATTAGGTGAAACAAGTATGTCAGCCTCTTAAAACACCATGCTAAAACCTTACTCCACAAAATTTAGATCAGTACCATAAATTTTGATTTTATCAACTATACAACCAATCTCAAAGAAAGATAAGATCTATTTTGCCCTGTGTTCTGTGATGAATCCTTACAATAATCTACGAACAAGGCATTGAGTATATTTTACACCACAGTAGAACAGACATGCGCTAAAAAACAGACCTCAAAGTCATTAGATAGTTCTTTGTCCAGCGCCTTGAGGAGATCTTCTCCATAAGTTTCAGCATATGTTTGTCGAATCAACTTACGTTGTGCAGCATTTCTATGGGCCAGGATGGATATGATCAGCCCCTCATTTGTTCCCCATCCTGCAATTGTACTTGATGTTAGAACATTTTCCAAGTTCAGTAACTAATTTCCATGGAACCATTTTTGGAGGCTCCAAGTTCAAAAATTCAGACAAACAGTTCCATCATCACAAATATCAATATGCTTTAATTTATAAGTAAAAACACTTATATTCCGGAAAAGATTTCCAAATCAGAGTCTATAATTATATAGCACTATGTGAATCAAATTACGGTAACTGAAATAATGTTATATAAGCATCAGATCACCAAGCAACCAATGAGAATCCACCGGACAAAAAAGTTAACTTGGAAAGCAATAGCTTAAAGATTAAAGGATTCTAACACCATCGATCATTACAATCATCCTTAGATCAACTTATTTGCCGTTTACATTCCAAACTAATATCTTCAACAAATTCATGTCACATCATAAAACTTCGCCATCGTTACAACAAAAAAAAAAAAAAAACACATTTCTTTGACAGATCATCTTTCCATCAATCAAAAACAAAGATCGCACTCAAAACCCTGTATTAACTTTATCTTAAAAAAGATCATGCTCAACAGAAGAAAAAGAAACATAAAACATAAGAAAAAAAACCTACATATATTGTCCCAAACCGTCATCGAGAAATAAGAACCGATCAGATCGTTGAAATGTGATGATCAAAATGAATCATGAAACATAAGTTTGATAGACAAAACAGAGGACTTATAAAAGGCGTTGTATAGAGGAGACCTGCAAGGCTTTTCTTAGCTGCTCACAGTCTTCGGACACAGAGGGAACTTGATTTGG